AGTCCATGATTGTACTGATGCTATTTTGACCCTTTTGTTTAGTACTAGTTTGATGGGATGATTTCTTTTGTCTTTCTAGATCTAGGTGCGGATTTCCCCAGTTAATGCTCCTTTACAACATGATGATTTATTGAAGAATTTGAATTTTTGAGATATCTTGAGTTTTGTGTAGGTGTATGATAATGTTATATATAATACTGTTCCTACAGCTATTGAAACAGTCCAAAGTGGCAGAGGTAGCCATGGAAAGCATGAAGAAGCAGCTGTTAGAACTTCAGCGGTCAGATGCGCTTCAGCGAGCCCGAGAGCAACATGAGGCCATTATTTCAGCACTCAAGCAAAAGTATGAAAAGCAAGTTACAGCATTAGAGCAGAAACTTGATACTACAAGCTCTGCGCTCCGAGAGCAGGTGAGAACGGATCTGGGGACACTGTTGCAGGTGCTGTAGAGTTCCACAGCTGTTCTGAACAACACTTCTTGAACTGTAATCAGTATTTTTCCCTTCTGAAAGTTGTTAACGGAATGGAAAGTTATTCATAAGTTTCAATATTATGGAGCTTATGTGATATGTTCTCATACAAATCTCGGACAGTGATATTGTGGGAGTTTGCGTATAGCAGATGCAGAGAAGCAGGTGCTCTGTTTTGAGAAAATAAAAATATTTAGGAATAAGTCTGCAACTTGAGAAATGCTCCCATAATATGTTACAAGACAAACTGTTTAACAAACTGACTAATCCCCAAGCTTTGCTCTCAGATTGATTAAGGGTTTCTAACACTGGGACAGATGCTTTATTTTAGAAGTGGAGGATTAAAAAGGACATGTGAGGTGGGGCCGAGCTGTTTAAGGTGGTACTTGATATGGCCAGTAGGATTTGTCGTATTATTGTGCAACTTATTATTCTGCTTAACATTTAAGTTGGTTATGCTATTAAATACATTCAAAAGGTGTACTACACTCCTATGTAGTCCTCAGGAGCTCCTTTTTCCACATGAGAGAAACTAAATTCACTTTCTTTAAAATTCCTTTCTTGTTTGGAATATGAATAAAAATAATCTTGCTTCCCAGAAAGAGCTTTGCAGTCACCTAGGAGAACATGTTAAGCAACTTGAAAGAACACTAGAAGAAAACAAATGTGAAAAAACTGAAATAATAAACCGACTGACAAAGAGCCTAGAAGAAAGTCAAAAGCAATGTGCAAACCTACTGCAAACAGGTCAGTCTTTTGTTCATACATTATCTTTCCTGGCAGACATGACTAAACTTTTTGAAGCATAGAATAGCACATTATTATTGAAATGGGATCTAAATAAGTCAAAATGCAGGTTGCTATCCAGTACTTCAGCCAGATTTAACTGAAATTCAGTCTAAATAAAAGGTCGAGTAGAAATATACAAATCCTCAAATTAAAGCTTCTAGTTTTTTAAAAAGTTTGAATGTATACAGTCGTAACTTTGATTTCAGTAGGTAAGTATTTCTGAGCAGAGCTGTGCTGTTGCACACAGTTCTGTACTACAGCAAAAGAATAACTTGGTGTGTATATTGCATTCCACATTCAAATTTAATGAAAAATAATTGTTTCTGTAGGTGGCAGTTAATTCCTCCCCCCTTCCCTAAGAATTAGCATCAATAGAATTATTGTAGTGTGTGGCATTTTCTTGCCATTTAGGTATGTATGTAGCTTTGAAGGAGGTTTTTAGTTTCTTGTTATGTCTTT